CCTCACCTTAATTTAACTAATTGGATCTACAATGAAACATTTTGTAACTAAAGTCACATTCTAAGGTACTGGGGATCATAATTTCAACATATGAATGGGGTGGGGGCAAATTTCAACCCTTAACATGGTGGCACATTTGGGCTGTCCCTTAAAGATTCAATAGGAGTTTACTGTACTGAGAGTGGATAGTTGAGCTTATGGCCCAGAATGGATACCATGACTGTTTATGCAGTTCTGGAAAAGCTTGTTTAATTTTAGGAACAAGTAATGTAGGATGGCTAGATACCAGGGTCTGTTCAGGGCAGGAGGCAGTGGCTGGAGGTGAGTTAGCTGGTTGGAGACTTTGTCAGAGTGAGAAGTAGGTCTTTTATTCTGTAGCCAACCAGAAGCTGTCCAATATTTGTTTAAGAGTATTGTGTTACTTTTTCTTATTTATAGAAGCACCAAGTATGCGTAATTAAATACCAGTTGAGACTTCTCTCCTATTTGGAAAGTTAAACTCCAAGTTCACCAAGTTCACCTCCTGTTAATTTCCAGGGCTCTAACAACTTTATGATACTTTTCACGTGGCATTGCTTTCTACTACATCTCAGCTCCTGCAACCTTTCTAACAACTTTATGATACTTTTCATGTGGCATTGCTGTCTACTACATCTCAGCTTAGATGAGAAGCCTGTTTTTCTCAGTTTCCACTAAAAAAAATCCACTGAACATTTTATGAATTGAGAAATCTTATTTAAGATTTGAGAGATTCTGGAGAGAGTTGCAATTTTGTCATCTCTTTGAGATCATTGCCCCCCACCCCATCTTCCTGGAACTACAAATTCATCCTCATTCCTCATGCAGAACAGTTCTGGCCACATTCCACCCCTTTAGAATCTCATTTTCTGGGCCGAGCACCCATTCAGGTATTTTTCCAAACAGATTTTTTTTTCTTACTACGAATTCTGAGAAATAAAATTCTCTTAGCTTATTATATTATTTTTAAGTAACTTAAAAAACATACCCAGAAAGTTTAAACATTATCCATCATATTATAAAACTGTTAACATATTGGTATCTTTTCTTCCAGTCTTCATTATGTTACAAAATGGAGCTTATTCTATATGTACTCTTTCTTTTATCCTACTTTAAAGAGTCTTTGCATTCTATCATTAGAAATTTTCAATGCTGCTAAAATTTATCTGAAAGCCTAATTTTCAATAGTTTTATAATTTGTTGTTGTGTTGGCTGGCTCAATTTGCTTAAAGCATTTCTTCTGGTCCGACATTTAGATTTCCATATTTTTATGTTCTAGATTATTCTGTAACAAAGACATTTTTCAGTGTTAGGGAACAAACTCCAGGCCTTGTACATATTAAGAAAATGGTGTAATAAGTATTTTCATACATGAATCTTGATCTGCATTTTTGTTATTATATCAGGATAAGTATCTAGATGAGAAACTAGTGAATCAAAGGACAAGAACATTTCAAAGTTCAAGATGCCTATTGCTAAATTGCTTCTAGAGAAGTTTCTTAAAACACAGTGAGTGAGGGCCAGGAATTCAGCTCAGTGGTGCCGCCATCTGCCTTGCAAGCGCAAGGTCCTGAGTTTGATCCCTGGTACCAAACAAAACAAAACAAAACAAAAAACCCTCAGTGAATGATATGATCAGATACATAATTTTTACAGATAATCTAAATCTAAGGAGAAGATAACTAGAATTTGAATGGAACTATAGTAGTGAAGTTTAGAAAGGTATTGATTTTGGGCAGGGGATTTAGCTCAGTGGTTCTACCGCCTGCCTTGCAAGCTCAAGGACCTGAGTTCTATCCCTGGTATTTCAATAAAAAGTTGTAAGACTACAATTTTTTTTTTTTGTAAGACTACAAATTTTATTGCTTCACACCCATAAATTTCCAAGCATTCTCTGCAAATGATCTTCAAAAATATTTGAATTTGGGCAGGGGATTTAGCTCAGTGGTTCTAGCGCCTGCCTCACAAGCACAAGGTCCTGAGTTCAACCCCCGGTACCAAAAAAAAAAAAAAAAAGAAGGGTATTGATTTAGAGATAGGAATGGGGATTAGTGATAGTTCTAAAATGGAATCAGAAGGACTAGTTAAATAGATATGGCAGGTAAGAAGCAGTAAGGAACAAAAGATAACTTCTTATCTTTGCAGTCTGCCTAACTGGGGGAATACTATTTTGAATACAGAAAGAGAAAATGGCAAGGTGTGCAGAAATGTAAGAAAAGATAATTTGGTGTGAACTTCTTGTGTTTGGATTATGTACCAAATTTTACAGACTTTAGGTAATGGTGGGCAAGTGGAAATACGGTTAGTGCTAAGAAACATCTGCTGTTTTTGCCTGCCCAACATCTGGCACTAGCTTCAGGATTTTTTCAGAGAGGACCTTTGGGTGGCATCTGGTTAGGAGTCTTGTCTTAAAAATTGTATTATTTACCAAACTCTTGTTTTTAAAGTTAAATTGCAAGTGTCTTTGACTTGGTAAATGATAAAGGGGTGATAAAGTATTCATGTCAGCCCTAAGTAGCCCTTGATGATATCTGTTTCTTCTCATTCTGGGAATGCCACTTCAGTTTTCTATGGAAGGTCATTCCTTCCCCATTCTCCCTCCCTTTGACACTATTCTGGATCCAAAGATGGCACATAAGTCAGCCAATCAGATGCACTGGAGCTAAAGTCTAATAGTTTCCATGGAAATTGCTGAGAAAAGCTCTTTCCACAAAGACTGCTAAGGGAGGGGGATAGGATATATAACTGTATAAGTGAAGCTACTGACAGCTATTTTGCTGTCTGCCAATAGAGTCAACTCAAAGTAGATCTGAGTTAATTCTGATAAACTAGTCCTAGGGCATTGATTGAGCCCTAGGATTCAAGTGTACTAATGCCAGTTCTAGGACTTTTCAGTCCTACTAGACATTAAAATTCCCTTTGTACTTTAAGCCATCCTGAGTGGGCTTCTGTCACGTACAACCAAAGAATACTGATTAATACAGTATTGCATATCAGAAAAAGGCTTAAGTTTTCAAAGGTTACAAATATTCAAGATAAAACATAAAATGAATAGTATTATGACTACATAATATTTAATGGCTGGAAAGTATGCATGCAGTATCTATTGTGTCAGGCACAGTACTAGGTTCTGTACATAAAATTTTCTAAAGGTATGGCTACAGAGATATTTTATGACAGCTTATTAAAATATCACAATTCATAAATTGGCTGAGTAAGCTATTAATAGCATGAATTTTAGTTTTTATGTTTTACATGCTTTGCTCTTTATTTCTTTTATAGACCTTTAAGAATACCTATCATGGTGCTGGCACATAATTGGTAGTCAGCAAATAGTTTGTTATTTGAATTTTAGAAAATATTTTAAATACCTGTAATATACAAGTCCACATTAGGAATTCATGTTTCAAGAAAGAGATTACCACAGGGGCATAGATTTTATTTAAAATCCCTAACAGATGTCCATTTGTTGATGTGTGAAATACTCAGCCCCCCCATCTTTACATTACTTTCAAAGGATACAGATTTTAAAGCTTTCTGATGTGACATTAGTTAAAACTGATTATGTAACGACGTGAGGGCAAGAACTGATCAGGTTTGTTTTTTCTTCCTCGAGTATTCGAGAGTGGTTCATTTCCTAGCCACCTTTGTGCCTCTGCCATCTCTTTTGGTATCGAGTTGTCATTTGAGGATGGTTTAATTAACAATGTTTTTGCTTCACACTCTACCCTTGAGTCATTAAAACCTGGGATGGAAAATCTGATAATGGAAAATAAATTTTTGAAATCTGTTATTAATCCTAGTACTTAAATATGTGTCATGGGATCCATTATAACATTGTGCTGAAAAATCTGTAAACACAGAAAAAAGTGTTCCTTATTCTCCTACATTCTGTCTCATAAAAATTGCATGTAACTAGTAATTAATGTACCACAGATGTATAGTAACGAAGTATCTTTTCTAAGTTCACTGCTTAATTTAAATAATCAACCTCTTTTTCAGGAGCAGTTTATCTGGTCACAATATTTAAGGGCATCTGACTTCATGATTATGACTCTAGACATGCTCTAGAAGTCATTTAACCAGGCAAGGTGGCGAACGCCTGCAATCCCAGCTACTCAGTTGAGGCAGGAGGATGAATGTTCCAGATCAGCCTGGTCAGTTTAGGGAGGCCTTGTCTCAAAATGAAAATGTTAAAAGGCCCGAGAAGTAACTCAGTTATGGAGCACCTCTGGGTTCAATCCCTAAGGGTGGGGGGAGACAGCATTTAAAGAGCCTATTGATAATATCCAAAACAGCAATTAAAAAAAATCCAGGACCACTGCCTCTGTATTTATTAAGAACCCCGATCTAAGGCGTCAAATATACTTGGCAAGATTTTATCCCCACTTAATTTCTGGACCAGAGAGCACTAACGGGGAGAGAAAAAAAAACACGCATAAGGTATAAGAGAAAAACAAAAAAAAATAAAGAAGAAAGTCAGCATCCTGGTGTTAATTCCCGGGACAGCCCAAGTAGGGTAAGGGACCGACCAACGCTTCTTGAGCAAGGTTGGCCAGCGACAGGAACACGGGGTCGCTGAGGGTCTTCTCAGGTCCTAAACATCTACGTAAGAGCTCGGCGTGCAGCGTGCGCTACGTTGGGGAAAGACACGCGGATGGACATTCTGGGAGAGCCACGGTACAGAGAGACAGCCCGGCGGCCCTGAGACTTCCAGGTCTCTGCCAGGCTCGGAGAGAGAGGCGGAGGTGAACGCGGCCGGGGGCGGGGTGAGCAGGACAGGGGTGGGGCCACGCGTGCTGGGGCGGGGCCTAGGCGGCCAGCGGGGCGGGGAGAAGGCAGGTGAGGACGAGGAGGGCGCGGGCGAGGGCGGGGCCACGCGTGCGGGGGCGGGACGAGCGCGAATAAGGACCAGGCCCGCGTGATCGGGGGCGGGGCCGCGCGCCTGCCGCTCGGCTGGCCTCGGGAGCGCGCGGCGCGGGCCCGCCGGGCTGTGGTGACGAGGACGCGGCTGGGCGGGAGCGCCCCGGGTGACCGGGGCGGGGAGCTGGGATCGCGAGCGTCCGGGGCGCTGCAGGCTGAAGGCTGGCCCTCGCTCGGCTCCTCTCACGGCCTCGGCGCTGCGTGCAGAGGAGACGCAGCAAGCCGAGGCAGGCGAAGGGCTCTGGGCATTCCCTTGACGGCCGGCGGCGCCCGCGGCCCTCAGCATGTTCCGCGGGGCGAGGCTTTTCCTCCCGCCCGTGGGCTGAGGCGGCTGCGGCCGCAGCCACAGACGCGGGATGCACCTGCCGGGAGCGGCTTAGAGGACGCGGCCGGCGGGAGGTCCCAGCCGCCAGCAGGAGGCTTTCGTCGCCGCCGCCGCCGCGGGCCCGAGCCGGAGCGTGGGGGACACCCCGCCATGGCGGCCCGGAGCGCCCCCAGCTGCCACCTGCGGCTCGAGTGGGTGTACGGGTACCGGGGCCACCAGTGCCGCAACAACCTCTATTACACGGCGGCCAAGGAGATCGTGTACTTCGTGGCGGGGGTCGGCGTGGTATACAGCCCGCGGGAGCACCGGCAGAAGTTCTACCGAGGCCACAGCGACGACATCATCAGGTACGGGGACCGGGCCGCCACCGCCTGCCCAGGCTCCAGGCGTCGTGACCGCTCCCGAAGGGACGTCGTCCTGGAGAGGAGCCGCGGGGCTCTGACCCCGAGCCTACCCACTTGTCACTGCGCTGTTTTTCCGTCTTTCTAAGTCTGGGGGACCCACTTGTCGGGTCGGTGCTGCACCGGGCATTCGGTAGCACTTTTAAAAAAAATTTCCGTGGGATGTTTTTTAAACGGATTCTTAAAGAGCAGAGGGGAAATCCTTTACCGTGGAGAACTGACGGGAGCTCCGGGGACCTCAGGATAGTCCTGGGGAACACGCCCAGGTTGGCATCCTGGAGGGTATTCGCCTCTTGGTTATCTTTAGTTCAGGTTTCATTGCCTGCAGTTAGCAGATAGAAAAGAAACCCAGGTAACCCTCAGGCTATTCATAAAGGTTAAAATTTGCGCACCTAAAGGCAGTTTGGTGTAAGTCTTACTCGAAAAAGCTGCTAAAAACAACCCCACCGATGATCAGTTCTCGTTTTATCTTCACTAAACTACTCCTAAATAGATTTACTTTCCTATCTTTTCATTTAAATAGCGGCGGTTTGGTTTTGTGTTGGTGTGTATTTTTCTTTCTTGGGCAGTATCTTAAAGTTGGTCCTAGTGCTTGTTTACATTTTTGTGGTGAGCGGTATATTTAAAATGTTATTTTTCAGTGTCTTAGAACTTTTGTGGTAAAGTTCGAAGCTTCAAAAACAGACCTGTGACCATTGTCCTCAGGTGCAGCATTTTTGTCCTTTATGGAATAAAATATAATGAAAACATTTGGAGAATGTATGTGTGTGCTGCTTCTGTTTTTTGTTGTTGTTGTTGTTTGTTTGTTTTTTAAAGAAATTCTGTGCTTGGTTTTGGTTAATTTTGTTCCCTTATGTTTGTTCCACAGTACTTAAGTTGGACATTTTGAATCCAGTGTCTTGGTTTGATGTCTTGTAGGCAAGAAGCTGTGATAATTAAATTCCACAAATAAAGTGGTTCTGCTTTGTATCTCTATACTCTATAATATGTAGGAGGGGAAGTGGTTTAGGACAAACAGAAGGTAGGGCAAGATGGAGTAAAGACAAGAAGCAAAAATTGAGATTATGGAATAGAGAATGAGGCTTTTGTTATTCATTTGTTTTTTTAAGACATGAAAGTGGAGTATTGCAAGATTGTACTTGATGCATTGCTTTGGAAAGGAAACTGACAAGTCATTTCATTTTTCTCAAATTAGGATTCTTTTTGTAGTGGTGATCAGGGTTACAGACCTAGTAGAATACTATAGTTTAAGTTGCTAACTAAAACAAAACAAAAAACTGTCATATTTATGTTGTTATTTATCCCAAGAGCAGAGTTAATTCTAGTTTCTTTTTTTTTTTTTTTCACTAACCCTTTCAAGTCTCTCTCTCTCCATATATTAGTACCAGGAGTACCTGGAGCAAAAGGCATACTAGCTTTACCTGGACAAAACACCCTTGACTAAAGCCTTCTTCCAGATGTTGTCTGTTAGGTTGAATTTAGTAAGTGGTGCAAATATGAGGGATGTTATGGTCTTCATGGTGCACTTGAATTTTTTTTCTCAGTGGTAGTTATGAACGTTATATTGCTGTAGTTGTGTAACCTTTACTAATATTTACTATACTTCTCTAGTCACTTACTGTTTACTAATCTTTATTCTAGTAATTGGTTTAGATATGCAACTGAGGTGGGGTTTTTTTGGTATTGGGGATTGAACTTGGGTCCTTGCGCTTGTGCAGCAGGCAGCGAAACCACTGAGCGAAATCCCTGGCCCTACTGAGGGTTTTTTTGTACCAGGGATAGAACTCTGGTCCTTGCGCTTGAGAGACAGGCGGCGGAACCACTGAGCTAAATCCCCAGCCCTATGCAACTGAGTTTTAATGTCAGAAGTAAGACAGGACTTTTGGGGTCACTTTTTCTTGCATTTTTGTTTCAAGTATATTAATATGCTTTTTAGTTAGAGCTTTTAGAAATGTTTACCCTTTTTCTCAAGTATATTAAGTCAGAATCTTCTAGGATTCTGGCTGGAGCCTGGAATCTGTTATAAAAAGTGCCTCATGTGACTGTTTGGGAATCATACTGCCACCCTGTATTATTAACATAAGCAGTTTGAGAAATAGGCATAAACTCTTCCCTCAAACTTGATACCAGGATTTTCTTACACATTGTATAATATCTAGAAACAGTTTTTCAGAAACTATTAGACTACCTACGGATTTAACAAAATGTCTTATGTTTAACTAGAATTAGGTGAACTTAACATTCACAGGCTGAGCCATGATTCTCTTTGGTAAGACTTTTATTTGTCTAGAAATTAAAACATTTAAATATTACATTAAATCTTTCAAATACTACATTCTTTAACGAATAAACTTAACAGAAAGGTAGGTATTATCTAGAATAATAGTTGGAATATTCAAACGTGTTAACTATATTGTTTACTTAGGAAAAAGCTGAATTTTTAGATTTCCATTTAACTATTTTTTATTGTTTTTAAACTATCTTACATGTAAATATGCAAATAAGTAATGAAATGTTTTGGTATATATTAAAAACAGAATAGGTTTTTACAAGCTGTTACAAACTTACTGTTATTTCAAGATTTTCTCTTATTTATTGAGCATCTTCATTGTGCAAGGGTCTCTAACATAATATTCTCAGAGTTTGAAGACACAGCCAAGTAAAGTGTCAATTAGAATACATGTACTAGGGATATTACTAGCGTACCTTTGATATATGTCTTGTTACTTTTATCGTTGCTGAGACAAAATACCGGCTGCCCAAAGTTAGAGGAAGGTTTATGGTAGCTTATGGTTTGTAGAGGTTTCAGTTCATAGATGGCTGGCTGCAGGGCAGAGTGGCATGGCAGAGAGGCATCACAGAGGAGAAACAGTTCCTGGCAGGCAGAAGGCAGGAAGGCTGTAAAGCAGTGAAATAGCAAGCAGCAAACCGCCACAGCAACAACAGCAGCCTTCTTCCTGTCTCTTATATTATATGCAGGCTATACACTTAGGGCAGGTAGCACTCACATCCAGTGTGGGCCTTCCCATTATCCATAGTTAGAACTAAGCCAAACCAATCAGTTGACTGATTTATTAATTTATTAATCACACACCCTTAATCCCAGCACCACACACTCTAGATCCAGTCAGCTATGAAAACGCTCCACCTATCACCACATGAGGTTTTTTGGGGACATCTAGTCACAAGTCATAACTATATGTATGTGGGGATATAACAGCATAGTATTGTTAAAGAATATAATACTTACATTGAATCTTCAAGGAAAACAGGGAGAAATAGTCATCAGAAGGATGATGGTATAGAATTCAGAGAAGAGGTAACATATGCAGCAGTCTTATGAGAGATTCTTTAAAAGTTGTTTGTACTGTCTTCAGTTCCTTTTCTCCCATTTACTCTTGGCTATATTCTATTTCACTATAGCAGTTCTTGTCGAGATCACTAATAAACTCCATATTGCCAAATCCAATAGTAGTTTTTGTTTCTCTTTTGTTATCATTATTTGACACAATTGGTCATTCCTACATTCTTAAAACACTTTTTAATTTAAATTTTAAGTAATACATAAAATCACAAAAATTATGCATATTTATAGGGTATCCTGTGGTATTGTGGTACATATATACACTGTAATGTTTAGATCATGGTAAAAATTAGAACATTTATTATTTCTTTATAGTGAAAATATACAAAATGCTTTCTTCTGGTTTTATGGAATATGTTACATTGTCATTATCTGTAGTACTGCTATTGAGTAGCACATCAGAACTTATCAGTACTCATTGATCAACCTTTTCCCATCTCCTCCTCCCCTAAGCTTTCCCTAGTCTCTGCTTACATTCATTCTCAACCTCTGAGATCAACTTTTTAAAATATTCTGTGTATAAATGAGATTATGTGGTACTTACCTTTCTGTGCCTGGCTCCTTTTACTTAGCATAAGGATCTCCAGTTCCATTCATATTGTCACAAATGATAGCATTTCATCCTTTTTATGGCTGAATAATATTTCATTGTGGTATGTGCGATAATTTCTTTACACACTTATCAGTTGATGGACATTTAGATTGTTTCCATGTTTTGGTTATTGTGAATAGTGCTGCAGTGAACATATAAGTTCATATATTTCTTTGACACACTTATTTCATTTCCTTTGGATATATGGTCAGTAGTAGAATTGTTGGATATATAGTATTAACATATTTTCTTAAGTGACATTGGTTTATTTATTCTTGCAGCAGTTATTTAATACCTAAGCCAGGGATTGTTCACTTGGATGTGAGATTAATATACTATATGGAAATCTCAGGAAAGAACATATTAAGCAAAGGGACTATCAAGTACAGAAGCCTTGAAGTAGACATACAGTATATTTGAACAACAGTAAGAAATTTAATGTGGCTGGAGTAGAGTGAACTCAGGGTAAATAGTAAGAAATGAAGTTTGATGAGATAGGCAGTGGTGGTGAGGACTGATGGTGTAGGACTTTATACAGTATGCTATTGAGAGGAAGTTGGCCTTTCCACATGAGACTACAAGTTATTTGAACAGTTTAAACAATTTAATCAAGTTAGTGACATAATTTGACTTATGATTAAATAAAGTCACTCTGGCTCCCATACTGAGGACAGTCTGAGGGGAAGGTCAGAATGGAAACAGGGAAACTACTTGAGACTGTTCTGGATATGTTTTTTAGAGGCAGTATAACTTATAACAAATCAGATATAAATTATGAGAGATAAGAAAAGTCAATTATGATCACAGAATTTTTTGTCAGGCCAACTACAGTGGTGTTACTGTTTACTGAATTGGGAAAGATTAGTGTCTTGGTTACTTTTTTCATTGCCAAGACAAAATACCCAACACCTAAAGTTAAAGGAGGAAGGATTTATTTCAGCTCACAGTTTGTAGATATTTCAGTCTATAGTTGGCTGGCTCCAAGGCAGG